CCATGTCCCTTAGTGATCTCCCCTACCCCTCTGTACCTTAGTGCTCTTACCTGCCCCCTGTCCCTTAGTGCTTTCCCCTCCTGTCCCTTAGTGCTCTCCCTTCCCTTAGTTAAATCCCTTCCAGTCACTTAGTGCTCTCCACTGCCCCATGTCCATTAGTGCTCTCCCCTGCCTTCCTGTCCCTTAGTGATCTCCCCTCCTGTGCCTTAGTGCTCTCCCCTGCTTCTTAGTGATCTCCCCTGCTCCTCTGTCCTTTAGTGCTCTCCCCTGCCCCATGTCCTTTAGTGATCTCACCTGTCCTCCTGTCCCTTAGTGATCTCCCCTCCTGTCCCTTAGTGCTCTCCCATCCCTTAATGATCTCCCCTTCTGTCCCTTAGTGCTCTACCCTGCCCCCTGTCCCTTAGTATTCTCCCCTGCCCCCTGTCCCTTAGTGTTCTACCCTGCCCCTCCTGTAACTTAGTGTTCTCCCCTGCCCCATGTCCCTTAATGCTCTACCCTGCCCCCTATCCTTTAGTTATCTCACCTGTCCCTTGTCCCTTAGTGTTCTACCCTGCCCCTCCTGTAACTTAGTGCTCTCCCCTACCCTCCTGTCCCTCAGTGCTTTCCCATCCCTTAGTAAACTCCCCTCCAATCCCATAGTGCTCTCCCCTGTCCCTTAGTGCTCTACCCTGCCCCCTGTCCCTTAGTATTCTCCCCTGCCCCCTGTCCCTTAGTGTTCTACCCTGCCCCTCCTGTAACTTAGTGTTCTCCCCTGCCCCATGTCCCTTAATGCTCTCCCATGCCCCCTGTCCTTTAGTGATCTCACCTGTCCTCTTGTCCCTTAGTGATCTCCCCTCCTGTCCCTTAGTGCTCTCCCATCCCTTAATGATCTCCCCTCCCCTTCTGTCCCTTGGTGCTCTACCCTGCCCCCTATCCCTTAGTGCTCTCCCCCACCCCTTGTCCCTTAGTGTTCTACCTGCCCCTCCTGTAACTTAGTGCTCTCCCCTACCCTCCTGTCCCTTAGTATCTCCCCTCCTGTCCCTCAGTGCTCTCCCATCCCTTAGTAAACTCCCCTCCAATCCCATAGTGCTCTCCCCTGTCCCTTAGTGCTCTCCCTGCCCCCTGTAATGTAGTGCTCTCCCTTGCCCCCTCTCCCTTGGTGCTCTCCACTGCCCTCCTGTCCCTTAGTTATCTTCTCTCCCCTTCTGTCCCTTAGTGCTCTCCCCTGCCCCTTGTCCCTTAGTTCTCTCCCCTGCCCTCACCCCATAACTTAGAGTTCTCCCCTGCCCCTTAGTGCTCTTGCTTGACCCCTGTCCCTTAGTGTTCTCCCATGCCACCCCAGTACATTGATGCTCTCCCTCCCCCCTGTCCCATAGAGTCCCCCTCCATATGTTCCTTAGTGGTCTCTCCTCTTCCCCCCATCCCTTATTGGTCTTTTCCTTCCTCCCTGTCCTTTGGGATCTCCTGTCTCCCATCCCTTTCCCATCCCTGTCCCTAGTGTGGTCTCTTCCCCATTCTCCCTGGTGGTCTTCCCCTGATGGTCTCTCCCATGGCTGTTCTCCCCACTCTACTCCTGCTGGGATTTCCTCTACCTCCCTGGTGTCTTCCCTACCCTGGTAGTCTTCCTTCTCCCTGGTGGGTCTCTTCCATCCTCCCTTGGTGGCCTCTCTCAGTTGCATTCCTCCTCTCCCTGTACCTCCTATCTACCTCCCTCTTCATGGTGCTCTCCTGGTGGTCTTCCCACCTCTCTTGGTGGGTCTCACTCCCTCACCTGGTGGACTCCTACCCTCCCTGGTCTCTCTTCCCTCTCTTGGTGGTCTCTTCCCTCTCCCTGGGATGGTCTCTCCCCTTCCTGGTGGTCCTCTCCCTAGTGGTTCATCTCTCCCTTCCCCTCCCTTAGTGGTTCCTCCCTCTGTGGCCTCTTCTTCCCCCGGTCGCCTTCTCTCTCTCTCTCTCCCTTTCCCCTTCCCCTAGTGGTCTCTCTCCCTTCCTCCCCTGTCCTGGTGGTCTCTCTCTCCCTTCCTCCCTGTCACATCATATTCCTCGCTGCAGATCATTCTGGCAATGGCTTCTGGTATCCAGTACTCTTTTTGCTGTCCTTGCTTGGGTTTATGGTCTATGTCTGGTTTTCTTTGTTGCTGGGTTTCTGGGTTCATTCTTATATTCCGTCCCTGGATTTCCCAGTCTCTTGGAATCATTTAAGTGTTTGTTTTATGTTGCCACACCCATTTGTTTCATCCTGGACCTGCAGCAGTGTTTCAAGCCTCTGCCCTTTCTTGCAGGTAAGTGCTATATTGCGGTTTAGTATGGTTGTTTTAACATACATTAGGCAGTGTAGGACCTGCCAGATATGGGGTACATTGGCGCTGTTGGCAGGCTTATGCAATGTATGATCATATAATGTGACTAAATCCCCATGCTTTTCATATATAGTGCTTAGTTATGTCTCCTCTTGTTTTACCTTGTATTTCTTATCTTGTTTTATTTAGTCTTGTAATCCCAGTCCATGTACAGTCCTGTCCAGTCATGCCCATGTTATGTTCTTGTTTTCCTCATGTCTTGTGTACATGTTCTGCTTTCTGTCCTGTCCTGTTCTGTGTTCTCCTAGTTTTGTCTTGTTTTTGTGTATGGTGCCTATCTTTAGTCTTGCCCTGCTCTCCTAGTTTTGTCTTGTTTTTGTGTATGGTGCTTATCTTTAGTCTTGCCCTGCTCTCCAAGTTTTGTCTTGTTTTCTTGTATGGTGCCTTGCTCTCCTAGTCTTGCCTTGCTTCAGTACTGGATACATCCCTGCTGCAGAGCCTCCTTATTCAGCTCCTTGGAGGTCTGCTTAATTCCAAGCTCCTAGTTTCTGGGATCTGCATAAGCTGAATCAGGGTTCTGGTATGTGGCTGCACACACTCTTGTGCTCAACACCAGGGGGCATGCGGTTACCCTGCACCAGACCCTGCTAATCCACCTCCACACTGTGACTCCTACTCTGAACATTAGGCATATTGGGTCCTGGTCCACGCACCACCGCGCGGACACCCGTGACACTCCCCTCTCCCCCCCCCTTTTGGTGGTCTCTCCCCTTCCCTTGTGTGCCTCTTTTTAATGAGCACTTCCTATCAGTCCGGCCGGGTACAGGAAACAGAAGCCTATGCCACAGTTCGCACCACCCGGCCATGCTACACTGAGTGACAGGTAGGAGGGATACCTGTGCACTTCCCTCCTGCCAGTCCCTAAAATCGTGCTCCCCTTCCCCCCCCCCCATGCTGGTGTGCCCTAATGAACATGCCGGCCCTACCTGTGCGCTGGAAAATCAGGCGGCTGCAGCATGAGGGGCACTGAGCTGGCAGCTCAGGGCACCACCTTCAAAGCGGCACCCTAGGTGACTGCCTAAGTTGCCTATAGGAAGCACTGGCCCTGTCTATAGGTAGGTGGTATGTTTCAAAGTAACATCCACATGAATGCCAGGATCCAAGTCATCCCAAGAGAACATTACTCAGAACATAACACTGCCTCCTATGGCCTGCCTTCTTCCTATAGTGCATCCTGCTGCCATCTCTTCCCCTGGTAAATTACTCACATGCACCTGACCATCCACCTGATCTATTACAAAATGTAATATATCAGACCAGGCAACCTTTATCCATTGTTCCATTTGCAGTTATAATGCTGACTAGAGTTGAGCGGACACCTGGATGTTCGGGTTCGCCAGGTTCGGCTGAACGCCGGCAAAAAGTTCGAGCTCGATGTCAATGGGGACCCGAACTTTTGGGCACTTAAAGTTCTCTAAAAATATCCTGGAAAGGGCTAGAGGGCTGCAAAAGGAAGTACAATAGTGGTAAGAGTAGGACAAGTGCCCTGCAAACAAATGTGGATAGGAAAATCACTTAAAATAACATAAAATACATACAAATTAAAAATACAGCTGAGCCATAAAATAGCACTAGATGATTTTAGCTTTGGAAGAACATAAATCAAAATCTAAAGCATGGCTGTCAGGAGGATCACCAAAATTATCCATTTGAGAGAGGGTTGGAGTGCAGGGTATTCTCTTTCATTGTTCAAACTGAGCTCAACTCCTGATGCATGGAGAATAGGCCTTCACAAGCCTCTATTGTGTACATAGTTTATACTAAGTGACCCATAGGTTGAGGTGGCGGTGTAGGTGGAAGCAGCAGTGGAGGAGGAGGAGGTAGCCAAGGTAGCCAACAGGCGGCTGCGCTTGTCTGTGATAACGCCCCCTGCTGTGCTAAACACACATTCAGACAATACACTGGCTGCAGGGCAGGCCAGCACCTCAAAGGCATAAAGGGCAAGATCAGACAATGTGCCCAATTTGGAGACCCAGAAGTTGAATGGGGCAGACCCATCAGTCAGTACGTGTAGGCGTGTGCACACGTACTGTTCCACCATGTTGCTGAAATGCTGCCTCCTGCTAAGACGTTCCATATCGGAGGGTGGTGCTGGTTGCTGTGGTGTGCTGACAAAGCTTTTCCACATTTCGGCCATGCTAACCCTGCCTTGTGAGGTGCTGATGGTGCCCCAGCTGTGTTGGCGACCTTTTCCTCCTCCTCTGCCTTCACCTTGTGCTTCCCCTGAGCCCCCGGTGTCAGTTGGGAATGCCGTCAGCAGCGCGTCTACCAGCGTGCGCTTTTAGTCGCGCATCTTCCATTAATGCTCCAGTGAGGTAACTAAGGACGGTACGTTGTCCTTGTAACGGGGATCCAGCAGGGTGGCCACCCAGTAATCAGCACAAGTTAGAATGTGGGCAACTAGGCAGTCGTTGCACAGGCACTTTGGTGACTCTAGATAACCTTGGGCCAATCGCACGTCCCTGTGTCGGCAATGACTCATTTGGATGTCTGCCATATCAACTTTCTATGGTACTTTCTGCGCCTACCATGGTGACCACAGGTAACTGGAGAATCAGAGTTCGATTCTGGAGAGGAAGCCTGAGAAACGACTACCACCTTCAAGGGAGGCAGCATGCGCGCAAATTACCCACTCCAGACGCGGGGAGGTAGTGACGAAAAATAACAATACAGGACTCTTTAGAGGCCCTGTAATTAGAATGAGTACACTTTTTAAATCCTTTAACGAGGATCTACTGGTGGGCAAGTCTGGTGCAGAGTGACTAGCCCGTGCGTGCTGCAGCTGAAACTCCACTATCGCCTGCTGTTGCTCGCACAGTCTCTCCAGTATGTGCAAGGTGGAGTTCCAACTTGTGGGCATGTCGCATATGAGGTGGCGAGCAGGAAGGCCGGAGTTACGCTGCAGCGCAGACAGGTGAGCAGCACCAGGGTGAGAACGCCAAAAGCGCGCACAGCCGCTACAGTGAATGGTTAATTAAATCAGTTATGGTTCCTTTGATCACTCATCTGTTACTTGGATAACTGTGGTAATTCTAGAGCTAATATATGCCGACGAGCACTAGGGGACGGACAAACTGTACACGTCACTCGCATGACCTTCATTCCACGTGGGGTCTAGGACCTCATCATCCTCCACATCTTCCACCCACTCCTCAACCCTGCCCTCCTTGCCGGTCTGCACACTGCAGAAAGTCACAGCAGTTGGCACCTGTGTTTTTCCAGGATGTAAAGTCTGCAAAGGACATCTGGAAATTGTTTTAGAATTGTATCCAGGCAACAGTGTCTGTGTACACATGATTTATTCAAAACTAAAATAAGTGGGCAAACTTTAAAACATGGGATTATGCGGACAGTTTAATTACAATTTAATTTAATTACAACCACTACAAAAAGTTGTAATTATCATGGTGTTTGGAATGTCTCTAATATTCTAGATTTCAGTTCTGACAATTACTAATGTTAGTAGGGTTATTCACTAAATTGAGAATGGCTTGAAATTCAAACTGACTTCAAAGTAAATTTCTAAATTAGATCAAAATAGTCAAATTATAAATATCCTCCAGTCTACTCTGGCTCTTTTGGCCTTAACATTAAGTTTGAATTCACTTTGAACTTCCAACAGTTCTCACTTTTATATAATTATACATCTGGCAAGGTGTGTCTTATATAAAATATTATATAATATAGGTGATGTGCTTTAGTTAAGCATGGTTAAAACAGGAGGATTATGTTTGAAGTTGGCTATGAGTACATTCGTATACTGACATATATTGTAAAGCATTTTACTTCTTGACTGATAACTACTTGTAAGATTAAGAGCAGTCTTGAAAAATTCCTGACTCCAGTATTGGTGGACACATGGACATGGGGTTATTGGTTGAAATAACAGTAAGGGTATATATGTTACTTGGTTTAGAGGTCAGGGAGGTTGCATTTTGCAGGTTCATGTATCGGTGGCTGTGTGGGTATTCGTCTATGCAGAGATAAAAAGCATAGTTTGTTTCTATGGGTTAATAATGGTGCATTTTTCATAAAACCAACTCTAGGAATAAGTAAAGACGTCAATACATTGTTTAAAAAAAAAAAAAAAAAAAAGTAACAAGATACTGATTATTATTGATATTAGGACTGGTGTATTTGCTTAACACAATTAAATTAACCCCTTAAGGACTGGACTGTTTTTGCGATGTTGTACATTTGCGACCAGGAATATTTTTACACTTTTGTGGTGTTTGTGTTTGGCTGTAATTTTCCGCTTTCTCATTTACTGTTCCCATACAAATTATATATTGTTTTTTTCAGGACAAAAGGGGCTTTCTTTACATACCATCATTTATATAATCTCGTGTATTTTAATTTAAAAAAAATACAAATATCTGATGAAAAATTTAAAAAAATACATGTTTTTTGACTTTTACTTGAAAAATCTTTTACTCATCTACAAAAGCGAATGAAAAAAACTGCTAAATAGATTCAAAATTTTGTCCTGAGTTTAAAAATACCTAGTGTTTACATGCTTTTTTGCTTTTTTTTGCATGTTATAGGGCTATAGGTACAAGTAGGATATAGCGGTTTCAAAACATACATTTTTAAAATGTATCAATAGTGACATTGTAACACTATTATCTGTCATAAATCTCTGAATAACACCCCACATGTACATATTTTTTAAAGTAGACAACCCAGGGTATTCAATATGGGGTATGTCCAGTCTTTTTTAGTAGCCACTTAGTCGAAAACACTGGCCAAAGTAAGCATTCATATTTGTTTGTGTGTGAAAAAGTAAAAAAACTAAATTGAACGCTAATTTTGGCCAGTGTTTGTGACCAAGTGGTTACTAAAAAAGACTGGACATACCCCATTTGCAATACCTTGGGTTGTCTTCTTTTGCAAATGGTATGCCATCATGGGGGTAATTCTCATTCCTGGGCTACCATACGCTCTCAAAGGCAACGTAACCAACCTGGCCATTTTCAATGTAAAAATATTTGACCCATATATTTGACCTTGTAACTTTCAAAAATGCTATAAAACCTGTACATGGGGGGTACTGTTTTACTCGGGAGACATCGCTGAACACAAATATTAGTGTTTAAAAACTGGAAAACGTATCACAACAATTATATCATCAGTAAAAGTGCTGTTTGTGTGTGAAAAATGCAAAAAAAGTAACTTTCACTGACAATATCATCGCTGTGATATGTTTTACTGTTTTGAATCACTAATATTTGTGTTCAGCGAAGTCTCCCGAGTAAAACAGTACCCCCCATGTACAGGTTTTAGGGTGTCGTAGAACGTTACAGGGTAAAATACAGTGCTAGCAAATTAAATTCTCTGGAATTTCGGCCTGGGTTGGCAGGCAGGTCCCTCAAATTGCAATCAATAAAATTACTGAATTATGTAAAAATATTACATAAATACGCACGTAGAATTTAAATATATATGCATATTTATATATTTGAAGTCTACATGTATATTTATATAATTATTTATGTAATTTTGTATATGGACGTATGTATATTTCTTATTATTTTTATTTATTTTTATATACATAGATATATATACAAATTCATTCTAAGTGTATTTTGATATAAATATATATATTAATTTTAAAATACAGTTAGAATAAAATTTCATATAGCTATATAATTTTTTTAAATTTTTTTATTTAAAAAAAAAATTAATTTAAATTACTTATTTATATTTTATAATAATATATATACAATATATATAGTTATTATATATATTATATATATACGTGTGTAATTTAATTATAAGTGTATTTTTATATTAATAAGTACATATTAATATAAAAATACACTTAGTATGACATTATATATATATGATATATAGACATATATTATATAAATATAATATGTCTATATATCATATATACACATATATAATTTTTATTTTTTTTAATTAACACTAACTTTATTTTTTTAATTGATTTTACACTAGCAGGGAGACTGCCTGTCAGCACAGGCAGCCCCCCTGCAGGCAGACACATGGACACCTATTTTGACCATGTGATCGCTGTGTTAAGCGATCACATGGCCACAGGGGTCCTAATCTGCCGTGGGGAGACTGTCTGGGCTGCAGGCAGTCTCCCCACAACCGGAGCCACGCTGATCGCCGCCGGGGGAACGACGGCGATCAGGTAAGTACCCCCAGACCGTTAGGACGGTTCAGGACCGTCATCGGTCCTCAAGGCAAAAATGCCGATGACAGTCTTGAACCGTCCTCGGTCCTTAAGGGGTTAAAGTTTTAGTGTGCTTTGTTTAACCCCTTAAGGACCAAACTTCTGGAATAAAGGAATCATGACATGTCACACATGTCATGTGTCCTTAAGGGGTTAAAAAGATACAGATTGTAGCCTTATTAGTCCAGTGATGTAGATGTAAAAAACATACAATTTGTATCTTGTAATACATTTTATTTTTTAATTAAACTAACAGAATTTTTTAACGACAAGCTTTCGGGAGACGACACATAGAATTCAAAGTTGAGTTGTGATACAGGGGTTAAAGCGACATGAGTGCAGATAAAACACATTCTTGCAGAGGATCATCAATATCTTTCTGAAGATCAGAGTGAGGGGGGAGAGGGAGAAAAAGAACAAACAAGCAGACAGTGCAGAAGTGTGTATACACACACACACACACACACACACACACGCACACTCACATATATAAGCATAAATGCATACCATTGTACAGCACTATGGAATTTGATGGCGCTATATAAGTAATAAAATAATAAGAGTATCAGAAAGCATAGGTCTACAGTACTTTGTATATTGATAGAATAAACATATTGGAATGCGTTTTGAAATGTTTATACATATGACAGAACAGTAAGATAATGTGTGGGAGTGTTCATGTAAAATGTGACTTTATTTTATTTTTTTTTCCTGTCCTATCCCTAGGATATGTTGGTCTTTAGGACTGCAAAATTTTCTTTTATGGCTTACCTGAGGATTAGTTCCTCCAGCCCCTGGGAGTTCACCCTCTCTCCCCTGGGACGTCTCCAGTATACGGCCCGGTGCAAAGGTGTCCCCCTCGAGAAAACCCCTTTAGTGACCGGGGGTTTTTCCTTTCTATTACCTTGCAATGACCCCAGGGGTAGCAAGTAAAGGACCAATTACATTACTAATATGGTTGGAATCTTCCCTCCAGAAACAAGGTATGAGGCTGATGTGGATTCAAACTTACCGCCAGGAGCTTTTAGACGGTAAGTGGCTGCTTCTCCCATACCTAGGGAGCTTCTGGATGCCTAGATGGCAGTTCCCAGGATGCAGGGAAGTCGTCCAAAAGGCATGGATTCGTGTTCTGAGGTTCCGGTATGCCTGCGCGGCGTTCGGGAGTTCCCGGACGCCTGCGCTGTCTTTCTGTGGAACCTCCTCTCCCACTCCCCAGAGCTCCAGATCTACTGTTCCAGGGTCCAGTGTTGCATCCAAACCCTGTTTCACTCAATCTCATGGCATGGAGTCTGAAAGGAACAGGTTTGTGAAAAAAAGGATTCTCCCAGGCCGTAATAGAAACTATGCTGAAGGCACGTAAGCATTCCATTTCAGCCACCTATTATAGGGAGTGGGAAGTTTTTCCACCTGGGTTCTTCCTAAAAACATTGATCTGCAGAATCCCTCTTCCACTGATATTTTGGAGTTCCTGCAGTCTGGACTTTCTAAAGGTCTGAGTTCTAATACTCTAAAAGTACACGTCTCAGCTTTGTCCGCCTTAACCAATCATAGATTGGCATTGGATTCGAA